TTCAACTAAAATGAAGTTTATTGAAACTAGATATAGGTTTTATGGTATTTTTTGAGATTTTCATTCTTAACACTTTTTGGATTTTCAATTCTACTTACATGTAAAGGAATTTTATTTTATGATCTGAGAGTTACCTTTGAATTTGTTGTTGATTGTTTGTGCTAGAGATGAAAGGGATTGTGTCGATGATATGTTCAATTCCAAGGGATATTGCGAAGGCTACAACGAGACTAGAGATAACTTCAATTGTTGAGGAAACCGAATCTTTGCAATCTTCTATGCCCTTAACAACTTCAGTCTCTATTAAAATTTTTATCTAAGTTTTCAAATTTAAAACATTAACCAACTCAGATGTGAAAATTTGAGTATAATAGGGTTAGAAATACATACTTAAGACTTAATGAAGAAGAGTATGTGTGCTTTAGCCTACGGTTTTCTTCTCCTTCATACAAGATTTATCTATTTTCTGCACATATAAGTAAACAGTAAACTTATGTTATCATAATATTGAACGGAGTTGCAAAGAAGTGGAATCAATTAGAAGTATGCACTTAACTAGGACTAGAGATACTTACAAATCAGCTTCTATCTTTTTTCCACTTGATTTTCTGTGTATACTAATAGATGAACAAATACAACTCTGTTCATGTGGCGTCTGTGCTTTTTAAGTGTGTGTAAATGGAAGAATAAATAGCAACTAAGTAGATAATCATTGGAATCAGTGGTAATTATCTTTCAATCCATGTTTTATCAATATCTTTTTAGCTTTAAATTTAAACTTTTATTCATGATTAGTTAAGTAGTTGAGTAATGTATATCTTATCTGTTTATTTATTTATTATTTTTTTCACAGTGCATGAATTTCAACGTGATAAGGATATTAAATACTGAAATACGCAGGCATCATCATCTCCGGTGTTCTTTAAAGCTGCTGGCATAATTTCTTGATCTTCTCTGGTTCTATTTGTGCTCCTTTTAATTTCTTTATAGATGTTGGTGGGGTTTTTTTTTTGGTTTACTGACCATTTTGCCCCTACTGGGCATTTTTCAGGGCAGAGAGAATAAGGCTCGGTTCTAATTTTAAAAAACGGGTCATATAATTGTAAGATTATAAAATAGTTTTTTGATCAAAATAAAATTTCATAGTAATGTGAATTCATTAACTTGTTGAAAGCCATATATATTTGTAGAAAAAAATAATGTTCGTTTTTTGCATTTAGGAAATAAATTAAGGTTAGAGTAGATAAAAGAGATTGGAGAAGAAAGGCTACTTTCCCAGGTCTGGGCTACAGACTTGAAGTACGCACTTGAACTGGTGCTTTGCTCTTCTTTGTATCAATAAACATGGTGGTTCTCTTTTACGCTTGACTTGGAGCTTTTCAAAGCATCATCATTCTCTTTTAAGTGATGTGGTGGGACCCATAGTTTTTGCTTTGAAAATTCTATAATTAGGTAGTTTTTTAAATTTATTTTTACACATTGAGGCTTTCAGTTTCCCCTTTAATTTGACTATGCAATTGTGAAATGTCCCATTGTTTATCAGAGTGGATAAGAGTATACATGTTTGTGGAGAGTGTATAATTATTGTTTTAACCTTGATGGTTGATGTTACATGGTGGTGGGAGCCATGATTTTGAAGTAGGCAGTGAGGTACGAATACAATGTACAAGCTTTAATAACAAGGGTATTCCTGTAATGTCAATTGTGCAGGATGATTAGAATAATGACATGTAGATTGCTTGATTTTGTATAGATAATTAAATTATGCTATCTATAACGGGTTTTGTAGAATAGTGTATGGAGTTAAATGCAAGAGACCAGATTGTTGATCTCTTTAAAAATTTATTTTGAAAAATTGTTACGATTTGAGGTAGTGTTTCATGGGTTCCTATGATAAATTGTTCATGATATCATTTGAAAGTTGTCCCAATAAATTTAACCTATTCAAACATGTTTATTCATTTACTCATCCATGATTCCATGTGTTTACTCTTCTATTTAGGATTTTTATCATTAAGGATTTTCTTTTTAAAAATGAATACGTTTAAATCCATTTTATGTAGGAGCTGCTTTATAAAACTGATTATGTTATGTTAAATTACTTAATATGGTTATTATGAATAGAAAATATTAATATTAATATCACTAAAATAAACACCACATAAATGATATAACAAAGGAAAACCATTTTCGAGGAAACAAGGGGTAAAAATATAAGTTGTTGTTGCCCAGGATCGAATTGGAGACCTTCATTGTGGTTTGGCTACTATGTACATTATGTGTATGGAGTGTTATCTATATATTCATAGATCGAAAGACTAGTCTTGCTGGTGTATATTGTTCTTTCCTTGTGGTTGTTTTTTTTTTTTTTTTTTTTTTTATTTGTAAGTTTTTTTCAATTATGTGCAAATTCAGTTTTTGGTTGTTTCTTAATTGGGTCTTCATTTCTGGTATTCATATGGGTTTGTTTATACATTTAGGCCTTTAATGCAATTTTGATTAGACCGATTATTTAGGGTGCTTTCGTGATTTTAATAGGTTACTTTCTTTTTTTGGATCCTGGATCAGAGTGTTGTGTTGCTGAGACGAGTTCATCCCTTTGGCAATTTGCCCCTGGTTTTGTCTTGCATCTTTGTGGTGGTTTCTTGATCCATTTCTCATGTTTTCTTTGGAGTAGCTGGCATACTTTCTTGATCATCTCAGGTTCTATTTGTGCTCCTGGTTGCTAATTGCTTTCTAGATGTTGGTGGGTTTTATTGGTTTCTTAACTATTTTGCCCCTGCTTGGTATTTTATGGTGTAGTGCTTGTTAAATGAGGTTTTCTCCATCTATTCATATGTTTGCATTTGTTATGGTCTGCTATGCTCTCTATGTTGATGGTGGGATAGATCTTTGCAATTTGGACCTTTTTACGCTTATTCAATTAGGCCCATGTCTCACTCTCTTACTTCATTTTATGGTTCAGTAAGTTATTTTCTTGTCATTGTTCAAATTGAATCTGTTTTTTGCAATTTGTTTCCACATCTTCAGTTTTGTATAACTTTTTTTTTATGTTTGTTTTTCTTTCTTTTTTGTACCCTTTTTTTTTTCCGTTTTTTAAATTATTTTTATTTCCTTTTTCTTTTGTAGTAATGGGTTAATTTTCAATTTTGATGAACATCATGGATGTTTTTCCTAAAACCAATCAAAAGTACCATGGATTAATATAGAAAAAAGCATAGAAACATGTTATAATAACAATTTACGTCCATTTATTTCAATTATTTGTCAAGTTTAATGTTTATTTTACAAAATGAATGTAAGATGCTCTACAACAAAATGAAAGTAAATTGCTTTTCTTGCATTTAGCCCAATAGGGGCCAATTGCAAGAACTAACAATATTCTTTCATTATGTTGTCTAATATAGCATCGTACTTTCAATCTTTCTTTTCTTATTCTTAGTTTTTGTTCTTATTAAACGATTGCACTTTGAAAGTACAATCATATTATCGATAAAATTGTAATGTTAATAAAAACTCAAAGTAAATTATGCTGTTATTCTTTGCAATTCCCTTAATTTAGTTGTTAGATTGTTGACTCGGCACCATTAATGGGAAGAATAACCAATTCACCTTGGCTGTTGAGAATTTGTGGCCTTTTAACATAAGAACAAAGACAATCATTACGGAATGGAAGCTAATTATTTTACTATGATTCGTATTCTAGATAGGTATGCAAATAAAAGATTCAAAATAAATTTCCTATTTTATTGTTAAGCCTTGAAGCTACCTTACCTCCACTTTTGATAGACCTGGCCAAATTATCAAAGCTTATCATTGGGTTATAATTTTCATAATCTGGCATCATGATCTGACCGTACGTAAGTTGTGTCATCAACATCTTCTCAAACACTAACCCTGTCTTTTGACTTTCCCTTGGTGTTCAACATTAAGGCTATCAAGCTTTCATAAACATTTTTTTCAATATGCATAACATCAAGACAACCGTGAGCCTGCAAGTATTCATCGTTTGAATGTTTAATTCGATGCATCGAGTTATTAGGATCCATCTGTAATTACATAAAAAATATTATGATTCAATAAGTTTTAAATATTCCCATGATATCCATTGTCTCAACATTGTCTTGGATTTTCAATTCTACTTAAATAAAAAGAAATTTTATGTTCTCATCTGAAAGTTACCTTTGAATTTGTTGTTGATTGTGAGTGCCAAAGATGAAAGGGAAAGAATTAATGATAGCTTTGCTTGTTCTTTGCAATGGTCTATGTCGTTCACGACTTCTCACTCTGTTCAACTTTTATGTAAGTTTTAAAAAATTAAACATTAAACAACTTGAATGTGAAAATATGAGGCTGAGCATAAACCTCAGCAGTTAAAAAACAATAAATTTTGAATCAAACATATGATTAAATTAACAACATATACTACAAATCTACAATAAGAATGGAGATACATACTCAAACTCAACCAAGAAGAATATGTGTGCTGTATCATATGATTTTCATCTCTTCATACAAGATTTATCAATTCTCTGCACATATAATTTCACTTAATTTTCTGTGTATGCTAATTGATGAATAAATAATATTTTTTCTGTGTATACTAATTGATGAATAAATACTCAAACTTAACGAAGAAGAATATGTTTTTTTGGTGATATTTCATAACTAATTTACATGTATACATGTATTATTAACGTTGTAGGGGGTGTTACCCCTAGACCCCGCCAGGGGCATTGCCCCCAAGTCCAATGTTCCCGAGTCCTCTTAAGTTATCTTAGTGTACATTCTCTATCTGGTAATATAACAAAGAAAAATATTTGATTTGTTTCTAATAGAATCTTGAGGACCCTACAATAAGTATGGGATGTGGATGTTTACTTCAAAAATCCAAAAAAAACAACATATTATATATCTACATATGTGTAGCTTAAATTATCTCTACACACAAATAGATCGAGAAGCCACCTATTAGAAGACGATGATGGAAATGTATAAGAGCTAGCTTTAGTATGCCCTTATATACCAAAACATTCTAACCCTTTGCATAATAATATTTTACATGTACACATTAGCTAAAAGGCAAAGATCATTCGTCTTGTGCATGGTTAGCCCCGGCATAACATCAAAGTCTATATCTTCCGTGTTCATGCCATTCGGCAACCTCCAATCAAACCTGTAAACAAGATTAGCAAGCAAAAGCTCCACAGTGACAACTCCCATTGAGATTCCAGGACAAATTCTTCTGCCGGCCCCAAAAGGAATCAACCCGAAATCATTCCCTTTAAAGTCGATATTGCTTCCCAAAAACCTCTCCGGCAAGAACTCCTCTGGGCTCTCCCAAGATTCAGGATCCCTTCCAATAGCCAACACATTCACGAAAACCACAGTTTTTGCCTTGATTTTGTAGCCATGTAAAACGGCATCTTTTGTTGTTTCTCTAGGTACTAGAATGGGAACCGGAGGGTACAACCTCATGGTCTCTTTTACAACTGCTTTCATATATGTGAGTTTAGGAAGATCATCCTCATCTACTTTACCCTTCTTTCCAGCCACATTTCTTACTTCTTCTTGTGCTCTCTTCATCACTTTAGGGTTCTTTATGAGTGCTGTCATTGCCCAAACCACTGTAGCCGCACTAGTATCTGTTCCGGCTACCAGTACATCCTAACACACAAACAAAGGAACAATTAGATAATAAAACTATGAACGGGTTTATATAGAAATCGAGCAAACAGATAAATTCTTGTTCAGCCAATAAAAATAGAATTTATTGATTACCATAAGCAAGGCTTTCATGTGATCGTACGTGAGGTTATGGTCTTCTTTCAGTCGTAGTAAAATGTCAACAAAATCCTGTTCTTCCTCATTGGACATAAAGTTCCCAGTGTTGATGTGTTCATCAATGAGTTTCTGGTAAAATACATCAAAATAGTTGAAGCATTTATCTAGTCGGTCCATCTTGCCCAATAACCTGTCAACCAAACCCACAAAAGGCACACCATGCCAAATATCCGAAACGAAAAAATCCGCCAGAAGCGCCTGAACTTCAGGGAAAAGCGGAATAACCTCGTTTACGTCATATCCATGTTGGTAACTCTTTCCAAAAGCCACTCTCATCATGATAGTACAAGCCACACTCTTCAAGAGTTCGCTCAAGTTTACTGGCTTTGACGATAGAATCAGCTCATGTATCTTCTTCATGGCACTGGACACCTCATCTTCACGAATATACCTAAAAGATTCGACCTTTTTAGGGCCTAGCAAATGAAGCATAAAGATCTTTTTCATCTCTCTCCGGTACTCATTATAGGGTGAAAAAGTCACATCACGATCGTTGTATGATAACTTATTTGTTCCAACAAATGATGGCCTACGGCAAAAGATTATATCTTGTGTTTGCAAGGCTTCTTTCGCTACACTGGCTGAAGAAACAACAATAGCGGGGATGAAACCCAAGTTGAGGGACACGATTGGGCCGTAGGATTGGGAAAGTTGCCATAGCGAAGTATGGAGGCTTGATCGACGGATCTGGTGCAAGTTTCCGATGAAGGGTAGTCCAAGAGGGCCTGGTGGACTGAATCTTGATCGCTTTTTGATGATTCTTGGAAGAAGGTAGATGAGAGGTAGAGACAGAAGAAGAAACACAAACAACAGTGGCATGGTTGATATGTTATGGACCTCCACTGGTAGTTTTGGCTTTATAGATTCCATGCATGGATCTAAGATAAGAATACCGTGGATACATGATAGCTCTCCACGTAAACTGCAGGTGCATGCATGCTTATGGGATGTTATCGTTTTTCAAGAGTTGAGTGTGATGTTGAGGGATTGGGTACATACATCCCGCACACATGTCCCGATTTTTGTTTTTTTATCAACACCCTATAATATCATATTTTGTTTTTTTATCAACACCCTATAATATCATATATCTTTTTGATCTTTATCCTTCTTTTAAACATTTTATAATATATTTAAATTATTATTTTTAAAAAATAAATATTATACTTTTATCATAAAGCTAACAAGGCTTTTGGTTCACAAAATGTTTTTGAAGGAATTGGAATTTGTTTAGGAATTGAAATATATCAGGAATTACAATCTAATTTCATATTCTATAGAAATCTATCAGGAATTGCAATCTAATTTCAGATTCTATTTGGTTAGTAGGAATGAAATTTGTATCAAATTCCATATTATGTTTGGTTGGCAGAAAATGGAATTGAAAAAATATAAATGACAAAATTGCCATTTTTTTGTTTATTTTTTTTTTTTGTTTTATAACCAATATTTAAAAATCTATTATATAAATTATAAAATTAGTAAATGATGGTAATGGTGGCAGTGATCTTGACGGTGGCAATACTGGTGATGCTGGCAACAAAGGTGATGATGAGTAGTGGCGGAGGTGATGGCGATGGTGGCGATAGTAATTGTGGTGGTGGCGGTCATGAGTAGTGGCAGAGGAGGTGGATGGTGTAGTGGTGGAGATGATAATGGTGCTAGTAATGGTGGTGGTGATAAAGGTGGTGGCGAAGGTGATGGTGGTAGTGCCGGAGGCGCAGGTGATGGTGGTGATGGTGGTAGTGATGGTATGGTCGTGGTGGTGAGTGCTGGTGGAGATGGAAGGTAGTATGGTGATGACGTTGGTAGTGGTGGGTGGTTGTGGCGATGGTGGTAATGGTGGTGTGTAGTGAGTGATAACGATGGTGATGTGCGGTGGTGGTGGTTGTGGCTGAGGTGGTGATAACAGTAATGGGTAGTGTGGTAGTGGTCGATGGTGGTGGATGTGATGGTACTAGTAGGTGGAGGGTGGTGGTAGCAGAGGTACCAGTGGTGGTGATGGTGGAGGTAGAGGTTATGGTGTGTAGCGATGGTGGTAGGTGATGGTAATGGTGGCGACAGAGGGGTTACATATGTAGTGCTAAAAGTAAAATGGGTAATATGGTAACATTAAACATTCTCACTTGAAAGGAATTAATTCCATACGTTTTTTATGGAATTTATTTTCCCTCATTGGAAGGAAATTTTGACTTAATTAGGAATCCAATTCCTTTTGAAAGCTTGAACTAAACAAAGAAAAGTGATGGGATTAAATTCCAATTCCTTCTAATTCCAATGGATTTGATAAGATTAAAAAGAATAAGATCAATAGATTCAAAACAAGTAAAATAATCAAACACAATTAAAAACAATAAGATCGATAGATTCAAAAAAGGTAAAATAATCAAACACAAAGAATGGAGATCAAAGTTGTGCTGAATGATTAATAAGCGTTGCCTTAAAAGAGCTCGTCTAAGAACTTCTACTGTAAAGGAAATGTAGGGTTACAAGAAGATCGATTCTAAACACGATGCATGCATCGACTATTTATACTCTAACCCTAGCATAATAAGGAACCGGGTGGACAGGCCCAACCCATTACTAATGGACTATTACAATATAATATAAAATTGACACAACACAATATAGCCCCAACAATCTTCCCTTTTGTGACAATTAGCAAGGCAAATTCTTCATTGTGGATGGTGTCTCTGAACAGTAAAAAGTTTTGGCATGATGCTCAGTAGAGTCTTGTGAACTTGGATATGCCAATTGATCATATCCGAGAAACATTTTTTTGTCTCCGGCACTGTTTGCTTTGTTTTTTATGCATCATCTCCATAATGTATTCAAGGCATAATGTGGAGAAAAGATGTTTATTAGAAAGATGGAAGCAAGCTTTCTGAAAATCAACATCAGGCCTTTCTCGAATTTGAAATGACATACACCATCCATCCTTTCGTATTCTTCCCAGCCACATTTTATCAAGGTCTTTTGGAGCTTCCTTGGGCTACACGATTGGCTTCTTTCGAAGTATTGCATCAATTTCAACGTCTATTTTCCCAACCTCCAGGATGTACTAGATCAACATCCTCTTATGATGTGCAATGATGGGTTCAAACTTCTTTACATCTCTCAGCAACAAACTAAGTAGTGAAATCCAATCATACGGGTTCATGCATGGAAGATCTACGAGAGTAAACTCGTAAACCTGACTCGTAGCTCCTCTTGCAACTTTGAACTGAGCATTCAGAAAGCAATCGGTTTCAATTGGGCCAGAAACCTTCACAACTGTGATTTTCTTTGAGCACCAGGTTTTGTACTACGGCTTCATGTGCTTCAAGTAGAATGAGAAGAGCATTTGATTAGCACCCGAATCAGACAGATCAATGTTTGCAACCCTATTAAAGCTACAAAACTGGAAAGTCTTCAGAGTCATCGGCAGATCAAGCTGCGAATCAAAGGTTTTCTATAGTTCGAATGAAACAACAAGTTCTATCCAGTACATGCTCGGATTATCAATTTCTTCACTCATAATACGTACCATAGACCATGAAGGAAATAAAAGTTTCTAAGTTTCCAATGTGACTTGCGCTTCCCGAAGTGCCTTCTCTTTTTCATCATCCTCCTTAGCTACTCGCAAATTTTCATCAAGTTCTGCATCGCGAGATTTACGCTTCAGTTTCACCATCCTTTTTTTCATCACCATCATAATCATCACTCACTTTTTCTTTTCCTCTAAAACTCGAAGCTACATCATCCTTCGGTTCATTCGGCTTAGGTTTCTACTCATTTTCATAATCACTGTCAGAAGTTCCTGTTCTTGCACCAGAAGTTCTTGCAGGTTCTCCCCCTTGTTTTGGAATAAAGGATTCCGAAACACCTATAATCATGTCGAGCATATAGAAGATACATTTGAATTTCTCTGCAAGATGCTGACGAACGGAGACAGTAAGGAGAGAATCACGAGTCTCAATTAAATTGTGCAGATTAGCATTCACATCCGCCACATGACTTTTGATAACGACTTTCTCATATTTTAGCTCGTTAAATTTGGAGTTCGCATGCATTAATTTTATTGAGAGAACTTTCACCTTCTTAGTTTTGACTGGGAGCTCATCCATTATTTTCTTCCCCAGTTCCAAATCATCATGAAGCTTGTCGATTTTAGAAGAGGCGGAAGTGTGAAACTTTGTATTATAAGTTTGAATACCTATACGAACCTTCTCAAGAGCATCCTTCTCAGTGTGAAGAGTAGTTCCAAGACTAGAAATCACTTTATTTTATATCGCAGTGTTTGTTTTCAAGGATGTCTGGAAAGTACCGATAAAGGTTTGAGCATCAAAATTAGTTTTTCGACTTTTTCGGTTGTTTCCTTAGAGACAGTTGAAGAATCTTCAACAACTTTATTTTCTTTTTCAATATTGACAGTATGCTCTTTCATCATTGTCTCGAGCAAAGCCTTATAAGCTACAATGGAGTAGTCTGAGCTGGAGGAGTTCTTTGAGGATTCAATCAAAGTATCCAACTTCTCTTGAAGAACCTTGAATTGTCGATGAGTAATAGGAGCATCATCATTACTGTACTATGGAACTTTGAAAGGATTGTAATGAAATTCCTCGAGGTCATCCTGGTCATCTACGAACATAGTATCTGGATCATCTTAACGAAGTGGAGAGAAAGGAGTGAAAGCTGCACCAAAAGTGTGACAACCCAAATTTTTTTTCTTGGTCAACCATTCAAAATCAATCAAATCAGACTTGTTTCTGCTATTGTTTTGCATTTTTGGGGTCTATTTAGGTATTCTAAGCTTCGTACAATTCATCGTCGGGTCCAAGAACAAGTTTTTCTAAGTCATAACTTAACAACCGGGCCAAACACCCTTTCGAGAGGAGCTTACAACCGCAAACTTGAGTTTACGACCGTACACCCCACCCACCCCCTTGGCCGAAAACTCCACCCTATATATAGGGTACTTGGCCTTCGTTCAACACTTTACACACTTCAAGTCTAAAACTTTCTCTCTCTCTCTCTCTCTCTCTCTCTCTCTCTCTACCTCCATTTAATTTCTTCAAGATCTTAAAAGATGTAAGTATTTCCCACCTTGATTTGCTGCTACATCCATTATTCTAGTGATGAATTCATGTTTCATCTCATGAATTTCATCATTTGATAGATATTCATCTTTCACCAAGAACACACATAGTTCATTTGATAGATATTCATCTTTCAAACTTCCTAAGTGTAAATAACTGCTTCTTATGCTTGTTATCTACTAGAAATTCTTGTTTTTCGCCCTGAAGTCAAACCAATAAGCATGAATATGGAGGGTTTACGGCCGTAAACCCATGTGTATGGTCGTACACCCCTCATTGGCCGCAAACCCTAGTTTTTGGTCGATTATTAGCCTTAAACTCTTCCTTAAGCTATGCATGGGACTTAGGACACTTCCAAGGGGCTGAATAAGGCCTTAAAACACCTCAATATGCACCTTTCTCCAATAGTGTACGGCTGCAAACTCCATTTTCATACACCCATGGGTCGTAAACCCATGGGCTGTGAACCCTTTAGGCAGCAAACTCATGGCCGTACACCCGCATGTGTGGCCGCCAACTTCCTTCTTTTAATCACATGTGATTCTAACACTTAGTTTCAAGTGTTTCCTAATCCCTAAGGTGGTTACCTTCCATTAATAGTGGTGTTATACCTGAATCTAATACATATATGTGGTATTATATGTTAAATAAGATCCGTTTGTGTTCGAGATTACAATTGACACTCAGCATCCCTATCAACCTTACATTCAAATACCATGTCAAACAATGAGTTCATACCCC